GAGCGGCGGCGGGAGGTGCGACGGTGGCGGGGTGGTTTTCATGCACGGGAGGGCTCGGGAGAGAGGGGAAAATGGAGAGGGAGGTGCGGGGAATGTTTTTATAGGGGAGGGGAGGCGGGATCGAGCCCGAGAGAGGTAGAAACCGGCTGGCGACGTGGGAGGAGAGAGAGATGCGGGAGGCGGCGACGTGGCCGGATTTTGCGGGGAGAGTGGGGGGAAACGGCGCGGACGTGGGCGACGACCGCGTCCACGCACGCGCGGGAGAGGGAGTCGCGCGGGAGAGGCAGCGACGTGGGAGGATTTGGTGGCCATGGCGGCGGTTGGGGATGGAGCTGGAGGTAGGAGATGACATGTGGGGCCCACCTGTCGGAGAGAGGGGGAGGGGAAAATGGGCTAGGGAGGAAATGTAGACTTGAGGGAGAGAGAGCCGAGCGGGCCGAGGAAGGGAAGCCCGGCCTAGGAAGGAGGAGGGGAGGAATTTGGGCCGAGCCCGAAAGGAAGGAAGGAGAAGATTATTTTCTTTTCTTTTTATTCTAATTGGTTAAATGAACTTTGTGCTATTTAAAATTATTTCTTGAGCTCCTAAAATTCACGGGAAATTTCAGAGAGTATTTTAGGGCACAAAGAATATTGCAAAATATTCCTGGCCAGTGATTTTTAAGGCAAAATTTTAATTCTCCAATTAATTCACTCGAATAAATTGCTTAAATTTTTATTTAATTTCTAGGAAATGCATTATTAAATGATTTTTAATCCCGAACGAAAATCGGGGCGTTACACCTCGCCGCCGTCTCCCTGCGTTAGCCCCCACCGCCTAGCTAGTCCTCTGCCCGCCGCTTGGCTCACCGGTGTCGTGCAAGCCGACGCCGCTCACGCAAGCCTCACGAATCGCGCATCAACAATGGCGGGGGGGAATCCTCACGATTTCTTCTCCCAGTCGTTCAATGAAGCTCCAGCGGGCCACATGGACGGCTCCGACTACGGCTTCTCGCAGGGATCTTCAGGATATGGTGGATCTGGCGCCGACATCCATTTTGGGGGAGGGGGATCGGGGGGCCTCAATCTGAACTCCCAGGCCGACGCCTTCCCCGATTTCGCCTCCTACCAACAGATCATTCAACCGGGTAGCCTTGGGTTACCTCCGATTCGGGCAGGGAGCAGATCCAGTCCCCCCATCACGTCCTCCTCCAGCGGGGGGAGGGGGACGCGGCAGAAGTCGTGGAGGGAGAGGAGGAGGACGAGGCCGTGGCAGGTCGTTGACCAATGGCGTTGGATCTGGCAGGGGAATGCGAGGATGGGTTCCTCCTGGCTCATCGTCTAGCGAAGGACGCGTCCGAGGTCATGGGACATCCATGTCGCACAGTGGGCCACCCGCCTTTGACTTTGGAGTCTTCGGAGGAGGACAGCGAGTCGGTGCGTCGTCGTCTCAAGGGACATATGTGTCTGAGGACGACGGCAACGATGAAGACGAAGAGGACTTTGGTCCTGATGGTCAGCACATGGTAAACCCCCGATGGTTCAAATCTGTTATGTTTGTTCTGTTCTATTGCGAAATATGCCAATTGTTGCTCATGATATTGATATTGCTATGCATGCCGTGAGCTAAGCATTTGTATTATGTCATTTGTTGTTCATGTGGTTAATTTAGGGTTAAATCATGTTTTTCTTTCCTAGAATACGTATGACAAGGCAAATTGGACAGAAGAAAAAACTTACACATTGTGTGAAATAGCACGTGAGGAAATAAGGGATGGGCATTGTCCTAATGGAGCATGGACAACTAGAGGGTACCAGAATTTGAAGGCCAAATATTTCCAAAGGGCTAACCTAAGGCATTCAACCAAACAGATAAAGAATAGATTCACCCATCTAAAGAATTAGTACATTGCTTGGGTGTGGCTGAACCAACAAACTGGAGCTGGTAGAAGTGCTAGTGGAGAAATAATTGCATCAAATGCTTGGTGGGAAAAAAAAAGGTACGCAGTTGTCAAAAATTGAGCTAGTTTACATGATTTTAGAGTTTTATGTGATATTGATTAAGTGTCAATACAGGAGAAGGGGGATGCCAAGAAATTTTGCCATGGCAACCCTGAGTACTTAGATTTTCTTATAGAGATGTTTCAAGGAGTTGCAGTTGATGGTTCCACAGCATATATCCCTGGTTTTGAAGATGAAGATGGAGAGGAAGGAGAAGAAGAAGCAGGGGATGCAGGGGAGACAGCTAGAGGGGAAAGAGCTGTAGGGGATGGTTATGAGAACAGCCCCATGAGCACTAACAACAGGAAGAGAGGGAGTAGCAGCTGTGATGTGTCCACAGCTTCTAGTCCTGGGAAAAAAAGTAAGAGCCCAGTGGTGAAGCTCATGAAGGGGCTGCTCAATTCTTTCAACTCTGAAAGTGATAAGTCAAATACCCTAATTACTGAACTTGTTAACAGCAAGAAGTTAAAGGAGCAAAAGAAAGAAGAAATTGTTGAGTCATTGACACACTGTCAGAGGTTGGCAGTAGAGTGTGGTGCAGCAGAAGACAGTGTGGAATACTTTTGTGCCACACAGTTGTTTGCTTCCAATCATAACAGAGTTATGTTTAACAGAGTTATGTTTAAGAACATTAGCACTAAAGAAGCAAGATTTATGTGGCTGAGGAGATGGTACCAGCAAAAGAATTTGTATTAGATGGTGCCTTTCTTAGGGCACTAGAGGCACTCTACCATTACTGCATATGATCTCTTTCTTAGCTGCATTAATGGTGTCTTAGCTGCATTTGATGGGTCTAATCTGCATTAGTTGAGTCTTAGCTGCATTAGTTCTGAACTACTTTTGTGTTGAACTATCACTTCTTTGATGTGATGTGATGTAGTCAACATGTGATGTGTGGACCTATTTAAACATTCCCTTCTTTTCTTCTTGAAGTTTGTTCATATTATATTTATGATGTGCTTCCTTTCTATGCATATGTCACTCCTGCAGGATGGTGAGGGCAGTGCTGATGAAGATATCTGTGAGGAAGATAGCAGTGATGAGGAGATTGATCTTATCATTTCTATTTTGAAGAAAAGAGAAATGAACAGGAGAAGAGCATGTATGCTTGCCGATATGATTGGTACGTATTACTTGGAACTTTACTCTAATAAGGCTCCAAGAAGGGTAGCACCTGAGTCTGGACATGATTGGGTTATGAGAACATTAGCCAATAGAACTGCTTGTTACAACATGTTTAGGATGCACAGGCCAGTTTTTGAGAGGTTACATTCTGTGCTTGTGGAATCATATGAGTTGAAGTCCACAAACAAAATAGATTCCATGGAGTGTTTGGGTCTTTTTTTTGTGGATAGTAGGTGCTCCCCAATCAGTTAGGCAAGCCCAAGACCGATTTGTTAGGTCTCTTAGAACAGTACATAGTAAGTTCAAAGCAGTTTTGACCGCTCTACTGAAACTTGCAAAAGATATCATTAGGCCAAAAGATCCCTTATTCACAACAGTCCATAAGAAATTGCTTTCTCCACAGTACACACCATATTTGGATAATTGCATTGGAGCAATAGATGGTACTCACATCCAAGTTGTGGTGCCAAATTCAGCTGCTGTTCAACATAGGAATAGACATAAGGAGAAGAGTCAGAATGTTATGTTTGTCTGTGACTTTGATATGAGATTTACTTTCGTGCTTGCTGGCTGGCCTGGTTCGGTTCATGACATGAGGGTATTCAATGATGCACAAACTAGATTTAGTGCCAAGTTTCCAAAGCCACCTCCAGGAAAGTTTTATCTCGTAGACTCGGGATACCCAAATAGGCTGGGTTATCTAGCACCATACAAGGGTATAACATATCATTCCAAGAGTACAACGAAAGCACATTGCCAAGGGGAAGAAGGGAGCACTTTAATTACTGCCATTCTTCGTGTCGGAATGTCATAGAGAGGTCATTTGGGGTCTTGAAGAACAAGTGGAGGATTTTGTTTAGTTTACCTAGCTACTCGCAGGAAAAACAAAGCAGAATTATCCATGCATGCATAGCACTTCATAATTTCATTAGAGACAGTCAAATGGCTAATACAGAGTTCGACAATTGTGACCATGATGAAAATTATGATCCATTGGGTGGAACCTCTGCTCCATCTAGTGAACCAACAAACGATTTGGACTCGCGTGTCATGAACCAATTTCGGGACTGGGTTGCCGATGGATTGTGGTCTTTGAAAGGAATGTAATGAATGGTTCAAATTTATTGTGAATTGTATTTGGTTTAACTTGTCAATTGAACCATGAGTGCTTGTAATTTGTAACATTGAAACTTCTGTGATGTATTTCAACAACTTGAGATGTGTATGAGCTTCTTTGAATTTCTGTGATTAGGCTGTGATATTGATGATGAAAATGATGTGGGGGTTATTGCTTGTGATTCGGCTTGCTGAAGGTGTGTATTTGTCCAAATTATGATGGATTAAAACATGTGATGTTGGGGTGAAACATTGATTTGGCTTGCATTTGGTTGTGCTGTCATGCAGCAACAATGGTTTTGCTTGTAAAGTGCTAGCAGCGGCAGCAAACAGCATGCTGCAGCAAGGGGCATGGTGCAGTCCACTTTGTATGGTTTTAGGGGGTAATATGGTCATTGTGCAGCGCATTTAATAAACTTTAGTCCCTTTTAGTCCCTATAACCAAACAGTTATGGACTAAAATGATTAGTCCTAAGACTAAAATAAGTCCCTAGGACTTATGGATCCAAACACCACCATAGTAGAAGCTATGGGCGGGGGCGGCAGTCCGGGTGGCAGCATCTTCGATAGAGTGGCAGCCGTCCACCGGCCGCTTCATCGCGCGTGGCGGCAGTCCACCCAATATGCCGTCGTGGGTAACCAATCGGCATCGAGACCTATCCGCGGGACGAAGCCAACCGTTCGAATGGTGTGCGCGCGTGCATGCATGCGCGCGGTCTCAGTTAATGCATTGCCTCTCCCGAGTCAAGTGGCGTGCTATGTTTGCAGAGGCAAACATGCATGAGCAGATGGCCTGGTGAACTTATATACTCCCGGCAGGCAAGTGAAGTGCATGCCTGTATAGCTTGAGCAAGTATTTGGCAGTTTGCTGCCAACTGCTACCCTATTTCAAATCTAGGTAAGATCTAGCTGCAGGTTATACAGAGAAGGCAATGGCCGACTGCACTACGATGCGTTTGGCTTCATCTGTGACCATCATCTTGCTGCTGCTCGTAGCTAGCCAAGGTATGCAGCTGTCAATTCTAAATTTCTCAGTTTCTCATGCGTTTGGCTTCGTCTCTGTGACCATCATCTTGATTTTAATGCAGCTCTAGTAGTCTCTGGCGAGTCATCTTCCTCCGCGATGCAGTCCAAGACGTTGAACATGAACAAGCTTCTCAACATCAGTACGCTATATACTCATATACACAAGGACCAAACCCTCTGATTTCATACATTAGATACATGAATTTATATATTAGTTGTCTCAATGTCCCTGCATGCATGCGTTGATCATCAGGTGAAGATCACTCTCCTAATGGCGGACGCCACTGGATGCAGCGGATGCAGCCGGACAGCTGCTCGGAGCAGAACGTGGTGGTGTACCAGAACAACGCGGAGCACCTCCCCAGCGGCATCCCGACCTACAGCGTGGAAATCATCAACGTCTGCACGGCGTGCACGGTGTACGACGTCCACATCTCCTGCGGCGAGTTTGCCTCCGCGGAGCTCGTCGACCCCAGCCAGTTCCAGCGTATCGGCTTCAACGACTGTCTGGTGAAGGGCGGAGGCCGGTTGGGTCCTAGCGAGGCCGTCTCCTTCCAGTACTCCAACTCCTTCGCCTACCCGCTCGCCGTAGCTAATGTCGCGTGTGAGTAGGTTTTTTCAGTGGAAATGCGTGCGCATGTGTTGTACGTAGTCGACTGGCCTATTAGCTACGTACTGTCTTCGATGTTTCAGACATTCAGTTGATCGAGCTTATTTATCTATGGGTGACATGCTTCGACTTTATCTGCGCAAGTGCCTGGTGTGCATTATGTGGAGGACTATATAATAGGTTGCTATCTTTAATTATCAGGTTTTCATTATTCCATTGTTTGGGCAAGCATGATACCGTGTTTGCCAGAACATGCTTGTCACACGGCCTCATCTGTAAAGGGCCTTGGCCCACGACCTCATGCGTAGCAGTCCCAGTTCAACTCATCAGACCATCCGCAACGAGACACACTTTAGCCTGTAATCACACGTGGCATGCAGTGATCCATTGGATCGCTATGTTCTTCTACATTAAAGTAGACAAGTACAAATAAAAAAAATATAGTACTAAAGTCTTCATTTCTCGCTGGTACATTCTCTTGTATTTACATGCCATCCATAAAATATCAAAAATTTAAAAACTTGTAATAAGATAAATTAATATGTAATGTATTATTATAAAATTTAACTTATATAAGTAAAAATAAAAACAGTAGATTTGACTCTGAATAGATCGTGTCATTGACAGTCAAATTTACATTTTTCCAGTCGATTTTAAATTTTATATATTTGTAGTGTCAGTTTTTAATTAACTAGCACCTACAATAAATTAATTAAAGGTGTCGATTGTTTTAAAAACCGGACAAGTATTGGTGCTGGTTTTTTTTTTAAATCAACACCTATTCTTTATAAAAGTGCCGATTCTAGCTGATGGTGCTCTGCTGGTGCATGTTTTTGTGGAAAGAACACTGTGTGTTGATTTTAGGCCATGTTTAGATCCTACCCAAATATTTTTCACCCTGTCACATCAAACATTTGAACACATGTATGAAGTATTAAATATAGTAAAAAAAATAACTAATTGCACAGATTGTGACTAATTTGCGAGACGAATCTTTTAAGCCTAATTGCTCTATGATTGACAATGTAGTGCTACAGTAAGCATTTGCTAATGATGGATTAATTAGATTTAATAAATTCGTCTCGCGCGATTTACTGACGGATTCTATAATTAATTCTTTTATTAATGCCCGAACACTCCATACGATACATTATATAATATCCAATGTGACACACTAAAACTTTACACCTCTCAGTTTAAACGCTCCGTTAGTATTTCTGACATCTGGAGCATTTGTGTAGTAGTGGACGTCGCGCCGTCCAAGGTCTTGCCGACCAACCAGCAGTGGGACGGCGCGCCATCCGAGGGTTCGAAACTTGGAATGCATGGCAACGGCGCGTGTGTGCAGTGATGAACCAAATAGTAACTGCATGTGGGAATTTCCAACGCAAGGTCGTCTATCATCAATTCATCATCAAGTCAGTCTGTCATGCTACCCCTCGTCGTTTCCCGAGTGTGCTGGTAAGAAATGATTTTACTCCCGAGAGTACTTGTTAAACCAGCTCTAAAACCGTTAGCAGGAATATTTCGTTTTGTGTAGCCGAATTGAACACTAGAAATACTCCATCCATCCCATTTCAAGTGCAGCCATAATTTTCTGTGCACAATTTTGACCGTCCGTTTTATTTATTTTCTTAAAAAAAACTTGAAAAACATAAGTCATATATAAAGTACTATTTATATTTTATCATCTCAACAATAAAAATACTACATTCTCTATCCCATAATATAAGGTGTGTATATATTTCAGGATTCAACTTTAAAAATATTTGACCAACAATTATTATAATATAAATTAAATTTTATTTGCTATAATTAATATCATTGGATTGACATTTAAATTTACTTTAAGATAGTTATAATTTTGTTGCAACAAACCTTATAGAAGTATGAGAAGATATAAGTCAAAAGATTAGTTTTAAAAATTGTACCAAGTTTGACATGCCTTATATTATAGGATGGAGAGAGTAATTATAAAAAAACTTCAAATAAGACGGATGCTTAAAGTTGGACACGAAAAGTTATTATTGCACTTAAAATGGGATGGAGGGAGTACAAAAGCTTAACCATAATTTGCACTTTAAAACAAGACAACAAACAAAATACTAATACTTATGTATTTTTATTCAACCATATGAATATGATCAAACGGCATATAAAGAGTCAACATAATACACTAAATAAGAAACGGATGTACTCCCTCCATTACATAATATAAGGCATAACCAATTTTCTTCGATGTTTCATAATATAAGGCATGCATGCAAGCATGCAATCAACTATGACATATTCTTCATTAAATTATTATTATTTTAAATCCTCCACTCACATGTTATCGATGAGCAGGTACAATAGCAGGCTATAAGCCAGCTGCAAACATATTTTAAGCAGATAAATAAGGAGAGAGAAGCAGCGGACTACAGATTTGTAGCCAGCTGTAGCACGGACTCCAAGATGCAGTGTGCGTATGACAGGTGGGACCAGGTATTAATAGTGTAGTATGCAACTATTGTATGAATGGGCTATTAGATTGGCTATAGATGAATTGGAGCTGGTAGTTAGCTATACTATTAAACTTGCTCTAATCCTATTAGATGTATGCACACTGGTGGAGAAACCATCTTTGGTCGGTCAGCTAAAATCTATACTAGTCCCGGTTGCAATAAAAACCGGGACTAAAGATTATCTTTAGTCCCGGTTCAAAAGGTTAGAGCTACTTTTTTATCTTTAGTCCCGGTTGGTGTTGTCAACCGGGACTAAAGATCTATTTTTAGTCCCGGTTGGTGACACCAACCGGGACTAAAGATCTATTTCTAGTCCCGGTTGGTAGCCTAAACCGGAACAAAAGATCGGCATGCACGCATGTGGCGGAGAGGATGAGGCGTGCACGAGATCGAGGAGTTAATAAATTCTATTCTTATCTCTTCCCTAACCTTATCTCTTACTCCTCCCGTCTCTTCTCCGTTCTATTCCTCCCCTCTCTTCCTCCTCCCATCTCTTCCTCCTCCTCCTCTCCCCGTTCTATTCCTCCCCTCTCTTCCGTCAGCGGCCGGGCGGAGGCGGAGGCGGCCTCGCGCCGCGGCGGCGGCGGGCCCCTTGCGCGGTGGGGTGGAGGCGGCCTCACGCCGCGGCAGCCGGGCGGCGGCGGATCCGGAGGGGAAGCGGCCGGCTGCCGCCGGATCTGAAGGGGGAGGCAGCCGGGCGGTGGCCTCGTCCGGAGGGCTGCGCCCGGCGCGGAGGCCGGTGCGGCGGCAGGTGGTGGAGGCGGCGCTACCGTGGAATTTCTTTTTCTTTTTTTTCTTTTTTTCCTTAATGTGCGATTCGCTCTGTGTTGATTGATACGATCTATGTTGAATGTGTGATTTGATCTATGTTGTTGTTGTTGTGAATGTTTTGGGATGAACTATTGTGTGAATGATTTGAGATGAACTATTGCTGTGAATGATTTGGATGAACTATATTGTTGTTGTGAATGTTTGATCTGAGATAATGTTGTGAATGATTTGCTGTGAATGTTTGATGTGAGATTGTTTGGGCAAAAGAACAGTGAAAAGAAAGAGAGAAAAGAAAAAAAAAGAAAAAAACCATCCAACCAGGACCACATCTTTAGTCCCGGTTGGTAACATCAACCGGGACTAAAGATCGATCTTTAGTCCCGGGTATTTGAACCGGGACTAAAGATAGCGATCTTTAGTCCCGGATTGTTACTCCCGGTTGGAAAACCGGGACTATAGGGGGGTTTCCAACCGGGAGTACAAATCGTTTCTCCACCAGTGGCATTATATTTTTTAGGATGATCCAAACTACAAGATATAATAATAATTATTTCTTGGTCTTTGGGTTAAGGGTGGTTGTGTCTTATATTTTGGGGTCTGGATCCCCTGGAGTTGGGTATAACTCTACAAGTAGAGTTGGCCAAATCTATACCATCCATTGTTTCCTACGGCTGAGATCATGCCTCATCAAATTTACCTAATAAATTAACTCCTCAACATTAATGGTTATAGCTTGAGAGGAAAATTAGTTTTTTCAACGCTTCCTCTATTTTGATTATGTTCTCAACAAAAAATTAAGTGAAAAACTTTTTGTTCTTAATAAACACATACAGTCGATCAACTCTAAGCAGCAGTATATATCAACATAGTGTTTTCATATATATGCAACAGCGAACCATATCAATATTAATATGTATAATTTTTTAATAAAATAGATGAAGTATGAAATTCTTATAATATGTATAATTTTTAAATAAAATAGATGAAGTATGAAATTCTTGTATTAATTCTATAATTCTACAGTAAAAATATCTTGTGATATGTTGTTGATGTAAGTTTATCTGTTGCACGGTTAATTACTTGTTTTAAGTATATATTAACATTAACGTGGCTTAATCCTAGCCGTTGGGGTATACGGAATGACACATATCATGGCAACTCCACCTGATAGAGTTGTAGCCAACTCTAGGAGATCTGGACCCATATCCCGTCCTTGTCGCCACCGGAGTAGACGTTGGAAACTTCGAATTTGGCGATCCACGAGGAAGGCGGTGACAAGCTGGCAGTACCTTTCCTCAGCGGTTAGAGAGCCTCGTCATCTGTTGGATCGTATGTGTGTGTATAATAAATATGAGTATTTTTAATCCTATGTTGAATATGTTGGTCATTTTCCAAATTCAAGTACAACTTGCTAATTATAAATTTTAATTTGGGAAATAAATTAATACAATATTAAAGTGAGAATCTAAAATAGACATAATTCTGTATTTTATAATTATTACTATTTTAAAAATTAAAATAAAGCATGTGATATTCCAATTGCAGGTTTTATTTAACACGATACATGTAATTCACAGTCCGTATTTTCTATAGCGTGGAAGCACTCTTGAAGTGCCGAGTCAATAAGAAAAAAAAAGGCAAAATAGATAAATAGATTACTTTTGTAAACTATAAAATAGCATTACTTGAATATTATATATATATATATAGTGAATCTATTCTACACCCCTCCCCTAGAATAACTATTCTACACCCCCCCTCCCATGGGCCAATCCCACCTCCCCCACCCTTCCTAGGGCCCAAATCCCCCCTCCCACCTCAGTCAAAGTCTGGTCAAAGCCCCATCCCGCCGGTCAGATCTCGGTCAAAACCGTCCATTGACTCTCTCCCCCGCCCACCACTTTGATG